GAACCTAATTTCGAGAATATGCAGTTTTCTAGGCACGGCATTTATTGATGAAATTATTTTAAATTAAACTTCAACGATAAAAAATCTCACGTTATTACCTAAAAAATTGTGATTCGCCAGAAAATTGGTTCCAAAATACGTCGATTCTCAAGAACTCATCCCGCACTCGATCATCATTATTCAATATGTTTATAAACCATTTCTGTCATGAAATAACCGCAAAACACATACAGCCAAAATAATTTACACTCAGAGGTAAATTAGAAGTACCTCGCAGATTTATTACACTTGAAAAATTTCGTTAACTAATCTCCTCGATCATAAAAAAATTTTAAACGGTGATCTTATTCTCAGATTCTTTCGTAACACCACCACCATACCAGGAGAGTGCGTTTGGTTTTGCATCAGTTCGCTTAGAAAATGACGGAATAGGAACCGTTTTTATTTGTGTATGACAATAATATGACTAGAAAATTCATTACTTAAACACTTTTTTCATATAAATTTCGAATTTTTACTATTATGTTATATAAATGTTATGTTGTTGTCGCCCCTCTATCATGATGAAGTATAAAGAGAGCTTGAAATTAAGTCATGTCTGATCAATGCGTGCTGTTGAGTGCAGTCAAGCCATAATTTGCCTTGATGGTTGTCGAGTGATGTCATGTAATCGATCCACTGGTAATATATGTCTTGCTGGTAACCTCTTAGTAGCTACTGCAAAATATAAATTAAAGAAACAAATGCATAATATGAATTCGAAAAAGTAGAAAATTTAAGTTTCCCGATTTTGCGTTGAACTACACTCATATGTATGCCCAATTGTTTTTGATGAGCAAGAAAATAGAACTTCGGAAGTAAATATTTCATTATTTATTATTAAATATATTATTATTATTATTAATATTATTATTATCCCTATTATTATTCCTATTATCATTGTGTTATCTATTGTCATTATATTGTCATTATATCTATTATCGTGAGTAACAATAAAATCTCTTGAGATAATCGATATTAATATGATAGGAACCTACAACTGCATGAAACTTTACTCTAGCTCCATACCGCACAATAACCTAGCTATGTATGGAACTTTGACTCTTCTTTCCGAAAATTGTAAACGGAAAATATAAAATTTCAAATACAAACTAGTATAAGAAACGAGGGGAAATTTTAGTATTCGACTTTAACCATCCATTTTCGGTCAATCCAAAATACTTTCGATTATTTTTCCGGCTATAGGCCAAATTTAAAGATGATAATTTCGTCAAGATCTACACAGATCGCAATCATCATAACTACTGCGTAATTTAACTCTCCAGCATGAATGCGTTTTTCTTCACGATGCTTCAGATGATTATCGTACAGCACACAATTCTCAGAGCCAGCTGAGCATCTCTGATCCTACTTGCTGGTGAGGCAGCAGGTCTCCTACCTGCCTCTGAACCCCCGCCTCCTACTCGCATGCCGAGGCATCTCATCGCCACCTCCTACTCGCATGCTGAGGCATCTCATCGCCGTCTCCTACTCGCATGCCGAGGCATCTCATCGCCGCCTCCTACTCGCATGCCAAGGCATCTCATCGCCGCCTCCTACTCGCATGCCAAGGCATCTCATCGCCACCTCCTACTCGCATGCTGAGGCAGCTCATCGCCACCTCCTACTCGCATGCTGAGGCAGCTCATCGCCGTCTCCTACTCGCATGCCGAGGCGTCTCATCGCCGTCTCCTACTCGCATGCCGAGGCGTCTCATCGCGGTCTCCTACTCGCATGCCGAGGCGTCTCATCGCCACCTCCTACTCGCATGCCGAGGCGTCTCATCGCCGTCTCCTACTCGCATGCCGAGGCATCTCATCGCCGTCTCCTACTCGCATGCTGAGGCGTCTCATCGCCACCTCCTACTCGCATGCCGAGGCGTCTCATCGCGGTCTCCTACTCGCATGCCGAGGCGTCTCATCGCCGTCTCCTACTCGCATGCCGAGGCATCTCATCGCCGCCTCCTACTCGTATGCCGAGGCATTTCATCGCCGTCTCCTACTCGCATGCCGAGGCATTTCATCGCCGTCTCCTACTCGCATGCCGAGGCATCTCATCGCCGTCTCCTACTCGCATGCCGAGGCATCTCATCGCCGTCTCCTACTAGCATGCCGAGGCATCTCATCGCCGTCTCCTACTAGCATGCCGAGGCATCTCATCGCCGTCTCCTACTAGCATGCCGAGGCATCTCATCGCCGTCTCCTACTAGCATGCCGAGGCATCTCATCGCCGTCTCCTACTAGCATGCCGAGGCATCTCATCGCCGTCTCCTACTAGCATGCCGAGGCATTTCATCGCCGTCTCCTACTCGCATGCCGAGCCTTCTCATCGTTCGCCGCATTGTCGCCATCAATATTTTATTGGCCATTCTTACCATCCACGTATATATTGTTTGAGTGTTGGTAGACAGTCGAGGACTGCCGTCGAAAATTAAGCCTTTCTATTTTTAGAATCTTCTTCCTACAATTTTCATTTGCAGAAATAAAAAATATTTGCAGAAATTCAAGCTTCCGAAACCAGTAAAATAAATTATGAACAATCATTGTATATATTTACTAGGTGTATTTTCCTAAATTTGGCATATTAAAGGAGTCATTCTCAATTAAAGATTCTATTAAATACGGTTATTACTCAGGGAAAATTTTAAATAATACTAATTTAACCATTCGAATGTCAAGTGTAACATTCCAACTTCAATTTTATCTAGTTAAATTAGTCAATTTAAAATATATTGCTACTTACGTCATTTTAAAAAAGCGAACAGAGCATCAATTTTATGGTTAAAGCGTTCATTAAATGCACATATTTTAATTACTGGGCATAGTAGGGAGTAATGCTGCGTACGGAACGATGATCAGATAATTAGTGTTGGCAGAGGCATGATGACTCACCTCAAACACAAACTGAGGGCCGTGATTTGAAGTGACCATTTGTGGTCAGTTACCCGTGAAAGGGTTAAATCGACACTTCTTATTTGCACGCAGAAATGACTTGAAATCAAACTAAAAATCAAAATAACATAGCATTGATGTGTGAGAAATATTGTTAGATCATTCAACTCTTGCATCTTTTGTTATGCAATGCTCTCTTATTATTAGCACTCGCTAAATAACCACACGATCCGGAGCAAAGTTATCTTTGGCCGTGTACAAGACAGCTCCTGTGATACGGGTGCGATATCTGAGCAGTAACTCCATATTTCTAGCAGTAATACTGCCTAATGCCTACTAATTGCTTCGCTGAAATCAGACTGAAGATTACTATGCGATACAATGTCGTGTGACATGTTATTGTGTCATGCTGTGTAACATGATAACTGCGCATGTTACCGAAGGATTTTCTGATAATAAATTTTAATGAAGACTTGCGTACTGAGTATTATTTCTCGGCAGCCTCCTTTTATTACAGTCTGCCTTTTACGATCACCTGAATACGGTGCCATGTACGTATATAAAGTGCTAAAAATTTGATTAGAAGAAGATTAATTGGGAAAGAGTAAATGAGCCCATTTCATTTTAAATTATTCAACATTTGAAAGATAAACTAAAATAATTTTCAGTATTCAAAAAATTTTTCTTTATTTTTGTGCTGTAACTCACAAATATTTTATTATCTACTAGCCATTTTAGCTGGAAATTTTGTAACAAGTGCTGCGTCAGTTTTTTTTTCTTTTGCTGAGACAAACAAAAGAGAGGTAAGGAATTTTATCTCTTCGACCCACCTGGAGTTCTTCGTATATTTGACCTTAAACACGCATAAAAATTAATTGGCAGCAATTAATAATACATATTTCTACTAAATACAAACAATGCAAGTGCACATTAAATAATAGGCTCATAGAACCAAACGTCGGAAAGGTGCAACTGCCGTGTAAACATATCTATATTTATAATAACTGAGTTCATGAATTACATTTTCAATCAAAAATAGAGAACTTTTGGACTAGACTTTACCGGTTGTGCGCAGCAGGAATTGGAGGTGGGTGGAATTTTGGTACAAAGAAATGAAGACTGAGCTCCATTATAATTAAAACTAAGAATATAAAATAGTTTTGCTTCATTAAAACAAATATTTACCAAATCGTTTGGCTTAGATCTCCAACAATCCACATTAAAGCAACCTATTAAATTTGCCAATTTTATTTAAAGTAACCTATTATTATTAAACATTAAACATAAAAGTAGAATTAAAGTAACCTATTATCTTTATAGAAAACATAACCTGAATGTCAGGATAGAAAAATCCAATAATTTTGGTGAAATAAAATAACAACAGCATGAAGATATCATCTATCATTTAAGACAGGATTCATGCATCTCACAGATTATAAGTAATAAGGCATCTTAGTCTATTATTTAATTTTTCTCTTGCATGTTTTGTTATATATGAACCATTTTATAGAAGCCGGATTTGTGCAAACTACCCACCCATGACGGGATTACTTTCGGATCAAATGCCCGGCTGGAGGTAGACTTTATGTATTCAATTCCCGCATAGTTTATTGGTCAAAACTTGGATGTAAAACAACACATGGTGAAACCAATAAAGACCATCACCAATTGTGAAAATATTTGTTAGAAAAATATCTTCTCTCACCTGTACTGAGTGTTTTCATACTTCTATTTTTGGGTATGATCGTTGACTAACCTCATGTGTCTATATTATATTGAAAAAAAAATTAAGTTTATAAAATGGAAAAGGCTCGACACGCATCGTGAATCTCAATCCATTTGGCTTACGCTAGATCTGCAGTCTGGGCGGCGATCTGAATATTCCGTTGCAAAATATGCCATAAAGCCATTCCTAACATTTAAAGATAAAATTTGACCATCAATGTTGTTCCAAACAGGTAGCAGTACCCTTCCGTTAAATGTTCTCTCGATTACTTTCAAGTTGAGCTTCATGTATGGAAGAATATAATAAAACATATTATTTATTCAATTGAATAAAAAATTCCTTACCTTTAGTAGAGAGCACCACGTCTTTTTATTGCTGACGAAGTGTGAATTGAAATGCAGTTTCACAGACAATCTCTCCTGAAAGATATAAAAAATGTTTTCTAATCACTTCACTCTTGTAAATCTGCCGAGGAAAATTTATCCACAATCAGGATAATCACGACGTTGATTTCAACAATTATCTTCGAGTTTCATCAGTGATTAACGAACTGCGCAACTATATACGCAGTTCTCATTAATTTTCAGCCGTTCACAAAGCATTATTCAATTTACTTGGTTGCTCATTCGTTCTATCGAAATCTCCTATCTTGCGAAAATCACAGTTCGTAAAATACGAACACGACTTTTTTCGCAGAAGTTCTTCTAGAAGATCACTTGAAAATTTTTTGTTCGTAAGCGCTACATGTTGCTTCTGGAGATTTTCAATACTTCACTGTTGCGGTCACCAGCAATTGACTCACTATAGGTTCAGAGAATTAATGAAATTATCTTTTCTCCCGGAGATCCGCACAAAATAGCTGCGTTTGAGCGTTCGTAGCAGGCGAGACAAGACACGAGCAGACGAGACCTCTCGACGCAGCTGACGGGCGCAGACTGACGGCATAAGTCTGCGTTGCAGGCGCTGCCGTCCGCGAACAATGCGGTGTGTCGACACGCTTTTGACTCTGACAAAACAGTGCAAAAACTTTTAGATAAACACAATGAGACAAGGCAAATAAGAACGAGTTACATACAAATAAAACGTGCTAATTAATGCATTGAGCAGAAAATTGTCAGTCTCGTTTGAGGAATGGCGTCAAACAAGTCTAGCATAAATAATTATCAGACATAGCATTAACCTTTTGGTTTTGTTATGAAATATTTGCCAATGATTAGGTAACTTTTGGCAGTTTCTCCCCTGCAAAATATATATTTCTTCAAGTTCTTTGCGTCGTTTATGTTTGCCCTGAAACAGAACTGGCAAAAATTCACTCGAGATTCTAACATTCAATTTCTGCATATAAATAATTTGAAATATTGATTCAAACTAATAAATTTTCAAAAAATGAGATTAAATGAGAAGATTATTTTCAAATGTATCTATCCTTATTTGATGTTAATAATCAACAAAAATTAAAACTATTTATTTATGACAGAGAAGTTTTAGAATTTAATTTCCGATTTAAAAATAATTTCTAACAAGTTTTAATTTTAGACATTTAGTGAGCTACTAAATTAACAAGTGTTAATTTAGTGAGCTGCTGCTAATATGCACCCCGACTACCGAGGGATGCGTTAAGCAACGACGAGGTGGGCGCCGGTGCACCCGCTGAGCGGAGTTACGTCACGTGTTGCTCGCGTCACGTTCCGCAAGTCTCGCTGGACGACGTCACATGTCATTGCTGACGCATTTACCCTCACGTTGTCGTCAACGTTACGTTTATACTATAAGATCTTTGAGGTCAAATGCAACATGCTATATGTGAACACTCATTCATAAACGTTGAAAGTTTCAACGCTGGTGCATGGTCGTTCGGAAGCAAACAAAACATGTCGTTTGTTAATAAGAAAAGTGGACTCAAGCAAAAAGCACAATTAGGTCCCTTAAGGTAATATTTTATTTGTACCGTTTTACATATTAAACTCCTGGAAGCTTTCATCATAATTATGCCCAAAACGTTCTCATTTTCGGTTAAGTTATGTTTTCATTGGTGGATAATGCCGTAACGTATACGTCATAATTTTGCATGCATAGAAGATCCGTTACCGTAAAGTTTTCTTTATTATCCGTAACATGTTTTGATCGCTATTACCATAACTTTTGTGTCACCATATCGCAGACGCCGTAGATACGTTACAGAAATTTTTTCGTTCTGGTAACATTTGCAGTCCATTTGCCGTAGCTTTACGTCACCGAAACGGTTCTCATTTGCATCGCAAAAGTGCCCGTGTAAATTGGCACAGCTTTCTCAATCAAATGCGTGGCAAAAATGTCGCCAACACTCCGTCGTTTTTATGAAATCGTTGTAATGTTTTCGAAAGTTATATGTGATGCGACCATTATTCGTTGTATTGCCGCTATCGCAGACACATTTAGATCGCCGATAAGTTATCATTTATGAGACGCATTGACTTTTTCTTATCGCTGAATGACAGATCTTTCCAGCGGTCTAGACTCTAGAGATTTTGTTTCGTAAAATCACCGCTCATTTAACGTCGTGAAATTAGTCGTGTCTTGACGCCGGTATCAACGTTGCGTGACGGTCACCGCGACGTCGGTGGCGCCGAATAAGTCAAAGACGTTCAAGGTAAGACGATTGCCGTCACGTATTCGCCACCGTGACTCAGCAAGTTTAGGAAGAAGACTTCTCCCAGACACGCTCACGCGAGCCTTAGTTTGTTGAAATATTATTTATTGATATAATAATGTAACAGCGATATCATTTACAACTGTAATTAAATTATATCTATTATTGAATCATTTTCTTATTTTTACAGATCTGAAAATATTAATATTACTACCTGCTTTTTAGAAGGTAGCTATCTACATTTAGCTGGAAATAAAAATCGTTGATTTCACAAGTACACCTTTGGCCATAAATTGGCTATCAACAATAATTCACAGATGAATTCAACAAGCCTGATTGAAAAGTTAATTATTCAACTGCTAAAATAACCATGAATTTCCAACACCCGCATACCAAAATAAAATTCCGTGGGACGTAGATACTCAACGCCTAAACAACTTCAAAAAATTTAATTGAATATACGTCCCCTAACGTAATCTGAAGGTGATGCACGGTTATAACTTCTGTATTTTATCATATGGTGTTTCAACTTTAACGACAAAATGCCAATTCTGCACTTAATAGATGAGAAACATGCCAAGTAACTGTATTTTTTATTTTCGTTTTTAATATTTAGTAGAGAATTGAATTTAAATTGAGATCGTCGATGAAACGACGAGCCTGGACAGAATTTCTAATAAATTATAAGAGGAGTCGACGCTCCATTTCCGTGTTACCTTTAATGTTGTCGGGGCCTCGTAATTGCCTCCTAAATTTAGTAGTCCTGAAATGAGGCATTCGAAACGTACATCAATCTTGCTGCTAATTGACAAACTTATCTCAACGGGAACTAAATGATTTCTCAGAAATAACTCCACTGAAAAAAATCTCATTTGCAGAGGTCTATTTGTAGATAAATATGTCAAATATTTATTGCACGTGTAGAATATTTTATATCTAATTTATTTTTGACATGGCTCTAATATGTTTACAGAATTGCTAGAGGTTTTACGTCACGTGGTGGAATTTTTTTCGTGCTAATTTTTCTATCTTCTAGTCTCGTAAGCAAAAGCCGGGTAAAGCACCAGCGGCAGCTTTCAATGTTCTTTGATCACCACTTTGGAGGATTAAGTTAAACCTAAAATTATTTCTCAACTCCACTGTAACATTTAATTTATGTTGTAGCACAAACGCGGTTAAGAAGATTTTAAATAAATAATTCTATTTCGCTCAATAACGCTAGAAAACTGAAATTTTCTCTTTTATTTTTAATGTCGCTTTTGGACGTGTTGATGCATTGCACAAGTAAAAAACATACAACTATATCTCTGGTTCAATAATTGCATTTTAGGGTAATTGTCAATGAAATAAATAATATTGAACGATTTTAAATTTGTTAGCTGCTTCATATTGCAAAAGCTGAAGTTGCACCCATCTTCCTCCTCTCTTCCTGTAAAACAGCTAAATGTATTGATTGAAACACACAATTTCTGCAAATATACAAGTTTTGTATATTGAAGTAACTCAATATTCGGAAATATGTTTGAAAAATTTAATTTTACCACTCGTTTTTCAGTAATCATCAGCTGTAAGAATGGCTCATTTAAGACACTCTGAAAGCCGAAATTTCATCGAATTTAGACTTGGCTTTAGACAGCTGGGAAAGTTTGGGTTATATTAGAACTGCCAGATCTGGAGACGACGGCAACTTTTGTCAATTAAAAAAGTTGCGAATGGTGGAGCTCGAGTTAAAAAGACTCAGTGCAGGGCGTGTTGGGAATGCAACCCTCTATGATAAGTTATTCTCTTACTAGACACAAAAGCTCTTCATTTGAAACTATTACTCAATAATAGACATTAATGTTTAAATACATTTTTAACCCGTGCTGGACGAAGCGTATGCGCTCTATCCGTTGTAAGATCTCGTGCCTGGATGATCTTTCATTCTGGTGATAATATAAAGTAAGAATTTTTCCTCCTGTTTTAACTATTATTTTTGTTGATACAATTCTCTTACCAAATTGTTACGCATAGACACATATAGAATGACACGTCTGGGTTATCAGTTCTAACTTATCAATTAGTAGAAAATTTTTAGAACAATGTCGCACCATTACGTAAAAAACTTTTGGATAACGCATCAAATAATCGGGAGCTTCGAGGCTTTCCATCATCCTTGAAACAATTTGGCACCTCAACCGCTGAAAAATATATAATCGAAATGGATTTGGTTCCACTTTTCTCGCTCCATCCGCTGACATTTGTACACTGTTTTTTTTTTAAATTAGCCTCAAATTGAAAATGTGAACATAAGTCAGAAACTTGAAGTATTTTACTATAATAATTCGGACCTCAAAAGACGTCTAGTCAAGTTTCTGGTCTACAAATTCTGGACCGCCGAAAACTCACTCTATGACAAATTAGGTACATCAATACCAAATACCGCTCGCCATCGCATACAAAATTGAGTGTCGTTTGCAGTCCAATGGTGATAGACTTGCGTTGTTGGCAGCTGCTGCTTCCAAACCAGCTCACTTTCCATCTCCTCATCTGTAACTTAGACCAAAAATTTTTTATTCCAAGACTTGTGGCGTGTAGAATATTGTATTTTTGCCCACACAAACAGAAAGTCTTTCAATACACACTTTTACTGCCTTGTTCTTTAATATGGAAATATTATATAGATTATTATGGGCCAAACTGAGCTTTAAAGGAGAGATCATAATCATTATTTAATTTGCTATGGTCTTCTCAAGGTTTGGTCAAGATGCGTAGGGTGGCTACGGTCACTTCCATATCT